ATCTAGTAGATTTACTTAATCTTAAATCTAGTGATTTACAATATCTACATACATGAGTACATGTCTTAAGTCTAAATCTAGACTAAGTTTAGAAATAATATACTCAATGTAGGGCAATATCCTATTACTTTTTCCTTATAACTTATTATGACTTATAGATCTAGATTTTTTTCTAGGTCTACTAATACTACTATAGAGTATAGTAACTATAGAATCTAAGTAATAGTTAATACATGGAACTATACTATAAGGTTAATACTTAGATCTAGAATCTTCAGATCTAAAGATTAGATTTCAACTAGGCCTTGATCACAGACATATATATATATATATATGGCCTAGATTCTGGATTTCGGAAATGGGATAACTCATGGATAACTTAAAGATTAATGTTGTTGTTTTTTTTTGTTTGATTCTGTTATTTTTATTGTTGTTTTTTTTCTCAACATTGAAAGTCACTGTTCTTCATTGCAGAAGGGCATTCTCCTGACTTCTACAGCTCATTATTCATCAACGGAGTCCGAGGCGAAGCCCGACGCCAAAAGCGTTTTCTTCTTTTTCCACTGCAGAAACGTATTCTATTGACATCTACAGCTCATTATTCATCAATGGAGTTCGAAGCTCATTATTCATACTATTAAAAAAGGACCTTTTGAATAATGTTGTACTTAAAAATTATTCTAAAATGAATTTATAGGCCCTTAATACATTGCAAATAAAACCGATTTGTTCCTTGAAAAGATAAGATACCCCACATATTTAGATTTTGGCTTTGAGGATCGCCGCCGAAAAAAAAATTTATTCAATAAATAGTATTCAATAAAATTAAAGTATAAATTGCGAGTTATAGTCCAAAATTTATTTAACTAGAAAAATATCAGATTGAGTAAAGGCGACTATGTGAAAATTATTTGAGTTTAGAACTCATCTTAATCATGACTCTTATACTTAAAATTTTCGTTTGAATTCTAACTTTTCCAATGCAAAGTCTTTCTTAAAATAATTATGAAAAAATTCATGTGAAATTAAATAAACTCTGTCTGGAAATGGGTGGGGCGGTAGAGTGAAAATGATTAATCCTCGCACCTATTATAATTTCTGCTAAAGATTGCATTTGGCATTAAAGAATAGGGGTGGGGCGGCTCGATATAAGAATTTGATATATAGTTTATATAAATTATATTAGTGACAGATTTTTTTAATTTTGTAATTTCTTAACTATAATACAAAAAGAAAAAGTATTGATTTGTCCGATGGGGGAAATGCGATTGCATGTATCGCCCCCCCCCCACCTGGTACAACCCTTTTTCATTTAAATTTACTAATGATACAATTTGAGATTAGATTGTGGTCCGACATAATATACAATGGGTCACATATCAATACGTAGTTTATATTATATAGATATTCAACTAATTGTGTTCACAAACTATGATTCTCCACAAAAATAGGATCGCCCCCCCCCCCCCCAGCACTTAGAGGACTAGAGTGGGGAGGGTAATACATGCAATCGTCCCCCCCCCCCTCATCCCACCGAATCGGCCAAAATACCAGAAAGGGAGCGACATAATATAAAATTTATGTATTAATTAAACTAATTTTGTTCACAAACTATAATTCTCCACAAAAATAGGACCGCCCCCCTCCAGCACTAGAAGGGTGGGGGGTGAAATAATCTAAAAATAGGTTGAAATAAAAAAAAATTAGTATATATTTTTAACATAAGTAATAAATAATTAGTATATATTTTTAACATAAGTAATAAATTCGTATACAAATTGTGCGAATTCTATAATAAAATTCGCCCGCCCCCTTTCAGGGGGGGGGGGGGTCGGCCGAGTGGGGGGGGGGGTGATCGCGATCGCCCCTACAGCCCCCCTCCCCCCCCCCCCCCCCCCCCGGATCCGCCAATGGTTCTCACTCACAAGACTGTTCGTAAATCTTGACAACTCCTTCATTTTTGGAATATTTTTTAATTGATGAAATCATAGAGAAAACCTAAATTTTCAAAAAAATATGGACACAAATCTTGATCCATTAATTAAACTCAGTTTATTATAGTATTAAACATTGTATTAAAAATATTATAATACTGTTTCTCGAGTGCTCTTCACATTGTCAATAGTTTAATCAAGGTGTTCGTAATCCATTGCATTTATTGTGGATTTTCAAACCAAAATTTAATCACAGCAATCTTCTCTTTGTTTACACTTTATTTTTAAAGATCTATTTAAGCAATTAAATTTAGTAAACCAACACGAAGAAATGTGTTAGCGATATAATGGAACCTAAAGAAAAACGCAAGGAAATGAATAGCGAATGAGTGAAAGAGATTTTGAAATAAATAAGCAAAAACAATTCCTAATAGCCTATTGTGCTTTTAATGACTAAATGTGAATTAAAATAACTGATCAACTTTATGGAAACCATTTGATTACAAACAATTTCTTGAGCTTTTAATGACTAAATGTGAATTAAAATAACTGATCAACTTTATGGAAACCATTTGATTACAAACAATTTCTTGATCTTTTAATGACTAAATGTGAATTAAAATAACTGATCAACTTAAAGGAAACCATTTGATTACAAACAATTTCTTCTTTTTTGTTTACTTAAGGTGTCTACCTCTGTCACCGGCATATGATCTATTCGTTTTAAAGCTTTGCTTACTAGACCGAATCGCAGTAGATAGATCACGTGATTGCAGTTGGTTTTTTGTTAGGAACATGTTCTACAAACAAGACACTTGGTGCAGTTCATTGACGTATTTGTATGTTTGGGCCAGGAGGTTGTATGTGTGCGCGGGTATGGTTTTTTGTGTGATTGCAAATGTTAAACAAAAAAAAAAAACAGGTAAATTGTTTGTCACAATGACGAACTTAAAATAGTTTTTTTTTTTTACAAAGCTTATATAAACGTCTGTCTGACAAGCACAAGTCTTCTATCGTTTTTTTTTTTCTCTCCTGGTTCCCATTCTGCGATCAAGTTGAAAATTTTGCACAATAATTCATAGTTTATTACAATACACGAATCAATCAAAACATTGACCCATTAGTTAATCAATTATATTAAAAAAAGGAGTTAAACCCTGCAGAGAACCCTACAAAGATCAACCCAGGCGCCATCTAACCCCCACTGGCATAGAGGAAAGTAGGCTAGCTGGCAGCAGGTGGCATCTGAATGAGAAAGTTGGAGAGCTTTCACAAAGGCTGCGGGACACACCTTTGATGCTGACAAATTATGCAGGCCGCGACTGGGTTTGCGTAGCCATGTGAAACACTGCACTCATCCTTCATCTTCGGAATGGAAGACATTACCGTTATTATTATAGAGAGATATGACAATAATTTTGCGGTTCTTCCTTCATGATAAACTTTGCATATGCATCATCTTCGAATCAAAATGTTAAGACTAAGTGCATTACATAATACATTTATAATTCTCAAAAAAAATTTAGTAAATTTAGACTCTGTACTGACGAAAGGGGACGTCTAACACAATTGTATTGCTTGTAAAGGTTTGGGGGAGGGGGGGGGAGTTATTTTTGCCATGAATAGTAAGATATCCTTCCCACACAAAACTAAAATCCATCTATTCCACTACAAGTTTAAAAAGCTTCGCAGTCTACTACTTTGAATAGAGAAGTCAATAATAGGTCACTGAGTGCATGGACTACTATATAAAATTAGGCCTTTGAATGAAGCCTGTATAGCAATTAAACTCTACACGAATTGAGAATACTAGTGTCGCCAAGGAAGTAGAGTGAACATAAGGGACACTAAAACTTTACCGTCTGTTTCAATCAATATGTTTTATGACTGTACTAATGACATCATAGAAACAGGAAGCTAGTGGCAGTTCTAATTTTGGCTATCGTTGATTTCTACGATAAAGTTTTGTAATTGTTCTTCAGAAGATATCGTAACACCAATAATCACAAACTGGCATCCAAATATATTCGCTTTTCACGTTCTAAGCATAGGTGAAAACAAAATGACTAAAATATTCAATAAAAGTAATAATATAAAGGGAGTTTGCGTTAACAGACTTGGGCGGCCATGTGGGTCAGTTTCACTTACTAAGCTACACATAAATTCAATGCCCAAATATTATTGATTTAGTATGCTGTAATCATAATATAAAATGCTTGCTTTGAAACACGAAGATATTTACATAAAGGAAAATATTTTAAATATTCACAGTAAATTTTACATTATCTTTTTTTTTTCGGGTTTAAAGGGGGGGGGGGGGATGTCAAAAGGCTTTTAGTTAAAAAAACAAACAAACATTATTTTCTAGTAGGTCTACCGAGTTTCATTTCGACTCTATATCACATGACCAATGTGGGTGTAACATAGTCTATTACTCACCTATGTTGGTATGACATAGTCTATACCACGTGACTGTAAAAAAAAAACATCTCAACTTTTTCACTTAATTATATTCCCCCTTGGGATGTCCTACTGACCTAGAGAGCATGATACGTTGAGCCGGAACTGGGTCAAGCCACATTCGAACCCGAATAGAAAAAACTTGTTTTCTTTGCATAAGAATCATTACATGTCAAACAATTTCCACAATGTTATATCGAAATGATAAATCGTTGTAGTGTTAGTTTTTTTTTTTCAAAGTAGTTTTAACCAGTGGCGTCACTAGGAGGAACACTTCGGGGGCCAATTTTGAGTTTGTGTTTCCACACAGACTGTCTTTGTAACCTTGTTATCTTACATTTTGATATATGTAATAACTATTGAAAAATTGTCATAATCAACGAACTTTTAACATAAAAGGGACAATTATTTGATAGTAATTTAACCATCAATTAGTGTAGATATTATCTCAATCTTTTGGTTCAACAAAAGAACGGCGGAGGGGGGATGACACCAAAAACTGACACCCACCCTAGTGACGCCATTGGTTTTAGTGTTTAATTGATTTCAATAAATTACCAGTAGAGCTTAAGTTCATTTTAAATATAAAACACAAAATCAAAGAAAAAGGCTAAATTTTATTATTTTTATTTTATAGAAATACATGGCTAAGGCTGCATACCACATCTTTTACAGGCAATAGGTAAATAAATGCATTTTAAAATCATTTCAATCCGCATGCACCCCTCCTCTGTGTAGTAGTGTAGCGTAATACATGAAAATATCACTTTCCAATAATATAATGGCAGTAATAAAATATATACAAATAAAACATAGGTTCTACTCCACAAAAACCTTATTGTTCGTGAAGACAGAGGTCCTACAAAATGAGTTGTACTCTGTAGGAAAATGTCAGGTAAGACATCCCACAAAATGGCGTGGAGCTGTTAGTAATGTACATGAACACTAGGCCGATATTAGTAGCAGTAATGCTCTTCTGTAATCGGAAGACGCTTATAAAGCACGAGGAGGACACTTTTTTAGCGTTCTAATCCACGAAATCATACTAATTGAATGCTACATGCTTCTCAACCAGGGACCCCATTTAGCGTTCTAAGCCACGAAAACATACTAATTGAATGCTGCATACTTGTCAACCAGGGACAGTTTTTAGCGTTCTAAGCCACGACTTCATACTAATTGAACGCTGCATGCTTCTCAACCAGGGACCCCTTTAGAGTTCTAAGCCACGAAATCATACTAATTGAATGCTGCATGCTTGTCAACCAGGGACTTTTTTTTAGCGTTCTAAGCCACGACATCATACTAATTGAACGCTGCATGCTTCTCAACCAGGGACCCCATTTAGCGTTCTAAGCCACGACATCATACTAATTGAACGCTGCATGCTTCTCAACCAGGGACCCCTTTAGCGTTCTAAGCCACGACATCATACTAATTGAACGCTGCATGCTTCTCAACCAGGGACCACTTAAGCGTTCTAAGCCACGAAATCATACTAATTGAATGCTGCATGCTTGTCAACCAGGGACTTTTTTTTAGCGTTCTAAGCCACGACTTCATACTAATTGAACGCTGCATGCTTCTCAACCAGGGACCCCTTTAGAGTTCTAAGCCACGACATCATACTAATTGAATGCTGCATGCTTGTCAACCAGGGACTTTTTTTTTAGCGTTCTAAGCCACGACATCATACTAATTGAACGCTGCATGCTTCTCAACCATGGACCCCATTTAGCGTTCTAAGCCACGACATCATACTAATTGAACGCTGCATGCTTCTCAACCAGGGACCCCATTTAGAGTTCTAAGCCACGAAATCATACTAATTGAATGCTGCATACTTGTCAACCAGGGACTTTTTTTTAGCGTTCTAAGCCACGACATCATACTAATTGAACGCTGCATGCTTCTCAACCAGGGACCCCATTTAGCGTTCTAAGCCACGAAAACATACTAATTGAATGCTGCATACTTGTCAACCAGGGACACTTTTTAGCGTTCTAAGCCACGACATCTCATACTAATTGAACGCTGCATGCTTCTCAACCAGGGACCCCATTTAGCGTTCTAAGCCACGACATCATACTAATTGAACGCTGCATGCTTCTCAACCAGGGACCCCATTTAGAGTTCTAAGCCACGAAATCATACTAATTGAATGCTGCATACTTGTCAACCAGGGACTTTTTTTTAGCGTTCTAAGCCACGACATCATACTAATTGAACGCTGCATGCTTCTCAACCAGGGACCCCATTTAGCGTTCTAAGCCACGAAAACATACTAATTGAATGCTGCATACTTGTCAACCAGGGACACTTTTTAGCGTTCTAAGCCACGACATCTCATACTAATTGAACGCTACATGCTTCTCAACCAGGGACCCCTTTAGAGTTCTAAGCCACGAAATCATACTAATTGAATGCTGCATGCTTGTCAACCAGGGACTTTTTTTTTAGCGTTCTAAGCCAAGACATCATACTAATTGAACGCTGCATGCTTCTCAACCAGGGACCACTTAAGCGTTCTAAGCCACGAAATCGTACTAATTGAATGCTGCATGCTTGCCAACCAGGGACTTTTTTTTAGCGTTCGAAGCCACGACATCATACTAATTGAACGCTGCATGCTTCTCAACCATGGACCCCTTTAGCGTTCTAAGCCACAACATCATACTAATTGAAAGCTGCATGCTTCTCAACCAAGGACTTATTAGCTTTCGTTCTAAACTACAACTACGACATCATACGAATTGAACGCTGCATGCTTGTTGACCAGGCTGTAAGTAACAAATGCTTAAATGAAAGCATTCCTTCGATATCAAAACTATTTGTCGTCATACATAGACACTGCTTCTAAGTTCTTCATTACAACCATTGAAAACCTGAAAAAATAAATTAAATAGGCTCCATTACAATAAATAGGTTAAAGAAACAAGGTACGAGTAACTGCAAAAACAATGATCAGAACACAGCAGAACTTCAATGCTAAGATCATGTTTAAATGCAAGTCGTTGCTTCGGCTTTATAAAGTCATGATTTTAGCCTTAATTGTTGTGCATATAAAACCTGACCTAGTACATTCATTACAAAACATAGTAAGCTATCTATTATTAGGTCCTTAAGAGTGAATGTGGTATCTATGTTTCACAATATACTCTGTGAGATATCAAACTTGTCACGTGGTATGAGCTTCGAACTGTAGTCTCGATGGTAGAGGGTTTGAACCTCTCCCGCTCTGACTCCCTTCCGTCCTGCAGGATTGGGGTAAGATATAATCTTCGTTTGTGAACGAACGTCTGGATCTACAAGTTAAGTCAAACGCTTTTCTAATCTTCTCTAACTACAATAGAATTCAAAAACCAATATCAATTTTAAAATGCAGCTATGCAGCTAAAAAAGAAGATATATATCTATTTATTATTCTCCTTTGTATTTACCACTTTTTTTTCAAAGAAGTTTTTCTTAAAGAACGAACTAAATATTATAATGACAAGCGTCAGTGTACATGTGACATAATGTAATATGATTTTTTACATGCCTACATCCAGACTTACTTTTTCTGACACCCCATAGTTTATTGTCCGTGCACCCATTGGCACTCTTCTCAAGAAAACATCTTTGATCAACATGCTGTAGATGACTGGCTGTTGTTTCTTTTCATGGCAAGAAGGATCTTCCTCGGAGTAGGTCTCATACTTGAGAGCAACTAGTCCAGAAACTTGAGTTAAAGCCCTTAAAAGGCTTACTTTACCAGACCCGACCTGAGGACTGTTCAAAACATGACAAAGAGATTGTATAAACCAGGAGCCATCTTCTCGACGCCAGGAAGCATAACCTGTTTTGAGGTAAAGACAGTTTAACATGAATGTATTTCACTGACGGAAGTAGTTTGGAAATAGCATGTTCTCCAAAGCAGGTTTACTTACACATTTATATTTAGTTCTTACAATTCCTCCACTCCTCACTTACCCACATTTAGGAAAAGTTTATCTAGTAATAAGTACAAATGTTTACATTTAACTAATCAAACGTGAATATTTACCAGGCGGTGTCGCGTACATCACAAGACAATCTTCGTACAATGAGGGCGGGGGGACTGGTAGTTGAGGAGAACTAAACTGGGGTAAAATATCTTGTTGATTAGGTTTTGTTCCATTGTAGGTTTCAGGTTTGGAATCCGTTTCATCTTTGCCATTTTTCATCACTAAGCTGTCGTTAGTAAGAAGGTATCCATTGTTTGAACAGCAAGAGACGCTCGAAGATGTGATGGTCCTTAGACTGATTTGCAAGTCTTTGAGTAAAGGAATCTCTGTTCCATGATCAAGCTTTTCACCCCTACAAGCCTATTTCAAAACACAGAATATGTTACAAAGTTAAAGTAACGAAAAATCAACACATTATTTTTTTAAACGCTTTTATATAACTTCACTGGTCTGTCAAATCTGGTTTGAAACATTGTTTGTAATTAACTTTTTTAAGGCAGAAGTAGAATTGGAACCAACGCTACATGCTACTACAGCCAATGAGACAATAAATAGTAAAAATGCTATTAATGATGTAGTGTGCCGCCGCTATCTATAAAGTAAGACTGTAAACCAATTTATTATAGTTTAAGCAAACTGGTTTAAAATGGGTTGAGTATATTAGCATAAATGATCAGTATAGCTAATAAAAAATGAATAAAAAATTATTTTTTTTAAACACACTTTTATTTTGGCGCACTAAAGAAGGAAAAGTATATTTTGTATTTTGTAAATTGTATTTTAAAGAATATTGAAGAGCACCGAGTTCGGTGTTGTCAGTTCAAAATAAACTCGAAAAAAAAACATAAAAAGCTTTTTTTTTTTCTTTTTTTTTTGAGTACAGAAAAAGAGGGGCATTAAGTTTCTTTATTGCAGTAGGGCTATCGATAATTTTTGGGGATCTTATTAGCTCTGCAGAATGATATTTTTTAAGCTTTTCCTATTGTTGCAGATATTATTTTTTTTTATTTAGTTGGCATCCTTGCCTTTGCTTAGCTGATCGTGAAAATCCCCAATACAATTTTTTGTTATTTCACTCTTCAAACTTACTAGACCAGTGTTTCCCAAACTGTGTTTCGCGGAACACTAGGGTTCCCCTAGAATAGGTGTTCCACGAACTACTGGAATAATTAACTAGTAGGCCACCACGTGAATTAATCTCTCTAAAAGAAATAAGCAAGTGTTCCGTTAAATTACTCAACGTGCAAAGTGTTTCGTTTATGAAAAAGTTTGAGAAACACTGTATTAGACTAATATGTATAAAATCGATATAAATTTTGAAAGAGGTGGAAGCAATTACATTCCTTTCATAAATACCTGAAAGAAGAACAAACGTGGCTTGTCTTTCAGACTTGGGCAATTCCAGTTATTGAAAGTATCGATGATAAATTTAGTTTTCACAGGCAACCCATCGACCCCAAAAATGACGTCATTTCTCTCCATTTTTTTATTGAAAGTACCGCCTCTCTCAAACCACATGACGTCACCATGGGACATAACTACACAGACAAAACAATCTGCATCAGCGTGCTCATAGTCTATGGCGGCTGAAAGAAACGAAACAAACAAAAATATTTTTAATTAATTCAATTTTGAATATTTCATTTTATTTATGAAAGAAAACGAAACGAAAATAATAATAATATTTAATGGGATTTTAGAACATGATCTTTCCAAGAAAACACACTTTTATCACAGATTAACACACAAAAAATTACCCAAAACTATTAAATTTGAATTTTAAAAATGACATATCCGTATATAATTATTACGCTAAAAAAAAAACATAAATGAATCTAAATCTTAGAGCAGCTCCAGTGGCTGTGTATTCCATGACATTATGCATCGTATTTATTTGATCTTTGACATAAAAGTTAAAGGATCGATTTCTGATGAATTTTATTTTCTTTCACATTGTTGTCTATATAAGCATTTAAAAACATTCAATATTTTAGTTTTTAATTCAGAACTGATACCAGCTTTAAATTTCAAAAATATTCAGTACTAGTCAACCAACGGCGTAGAATACGC